AATTCCTCTCCATCCTCCGACAGGGTGCTATCGGACAGAAAGGCTTGCCTGGCCCTCCTGGCCCCCCTGGCTATGGATTACAAGGAATTAAAGTAAGTGAACATGCCTGTGCTGCAGTCACCTTTGATTCACCAGGGTAATGGAGGAAAAAGGTTGTGGATAATATTAAATATGACTATTTGAAATGATTTTAATGTAAGCTTAGCAGTTAAAATTACATCCGGTATTTAGAGACACAATCCAGAGAAGTGTAAAAATGGTATAAGTACATTTGTTTAACAAACGCTAAACATTACATAAACTGCTTGGCGAAAAATTTAACAGGTAATGGCGATTTGTTGTTTTTACTGATTTCTGAGCTGAATGGAGAATTGACGCCCTGCTCCTTCTCCCTTACCTTCCTTGCCTGAATCTTCCATTCCTAACCTGGAGCTGCCCAGTCTTAGCTCACAATGGAATCACCTGCGGAGTTTTGTTTGTTTGTTTTTAAATAATCCTGATGCCTTACTCCAGGGGAATGAAATCTGAATCCCTGGGAGTAGAGCTTGAGTAGAATGGGTTGGGAAGCCTCCCAGGTGGTTCTCCTGAGCGTCCATGGGGAGGATTGCCACTCTGAATCGTGAGTCTGTGTCCCAGGAATTCACAACCACACGTGCCATCTGCTTCGCTTCTGTCTCAGCAGCAATAAGCCCATCTAGCAAGGGAGGGCCCCCATGGTCTCCCAAGTCTCAGTGAACAAAATTTGGGATCCAAAGGTTGCTGTGTAAATTCAGACAAGTCCCTCTTCTACATCTAATATGGTGACTTATTTATTTTTATTGGCTCACTCTCTGTTTTTTGCCCCAAATAAATTTATATTGTTTTACCATGGTTAAGCTTTGAAATTGAGTAATCCAGCCCTGGATAATTGATATTGACTCTAAAAATGTAGAAACATTCAAAATAAACTCTTTTCCAAAAAGCAAAATTTCTTAGTAAGTAGGAGACAGTAGGAACTTACAATAATAAATGATAATTAATGTGAAAAATCCTGTGTTGAAATTAAATTGCCTTCTCTCAGACTAGTCAAAAGAAAAACTGAGGCCGTGTTAAATCTTTCACTCTGTCACACAATGTCTGCGGCTTCTACTACAGTCTTTTAAATAGCAGTTGCTCCTCTGTCAGGATGAGCATACACACAGTGACCAGACAGCTTGACACATTGCCAATAGTGTACCAGCAATAGAAAATAAAGCAAAAGCCTGCTTCCTTGTGAACAACATCACTCTTATACTTAATCTTTAAATTCCACAGTTAAAAGATGGTAATGCTCTACAGATGGTCTGGCATGAATTTGCTTAAGCAATGAGCCCTTGTTAGACAACTGGTCTTGTCACCCATGTGAGCGCATTTCACATATGCTGGTTATCGCCACCTCGTTAAATCTGGTGGCAGGTTTCTCCCCACTATTACCGGGGAAATACTTCCTCATTCACATAGGAATACCTTGGGTTGCGCCTAAACCAACTCTGACTCACGCTATGTCCTGCCCCGCCTCACCTCCTGTCCTTTCTTATGCCCTCCAGGTCCTGCCATATTCAAAGTCCATCCCAAGGGAAACTATGATGTGAAGCCTATGATGATAGGGAAAGAACCAAAATTAAAATTGCCACATATCCAGTGCTATCAGAAATGAGATAAGCTTTTCTTTCACTGAGGGCTGTGGCCTGAAATCACCTGGCAGTGAGCCTTGATGGAGGCTGCCTCGTGCAACCTCACTAAACCTATTGGGTTGCCTGGCATCCAGTTGGCAGCAGGGTAGGAGTCTTTCCTTCAGGACCACAATGTCATTTTCTTGATCCATCACTGCAAAAGGGAGTGAACTGAAAAATGGAGTTGATGGTGTTTCTCTGAATCATTTTAAGGCTGTATGCTCAGTGGAATTTCATTTATGTTCATTTCCCGCATCTTTCTAAAAGCCACTTGAATTAGTAAAATCTGCTTCTGTTGGGATGTCTGTTGGTAAGTCTTTGACGGGAGCCCTTGTTGCTGTGCTGTTAACCTTTAATGCTGCGGCCCAGACTATGACCTGTCTCTCTGTGACATCTCTACATGGAGAAATAAGGGCTTGGGCTCCAGTCAAAGAAGTGATTTGCTCCCGCATCCACCTAACTTTGTTCCTAGAATATTATCTCTTCAGTCACTCATTCAACCAACTAGCCAGCCAGCCAGTCAAGGAATCAGTGCTGACTATGCTGACTGAGCTCCATCTATGTCAGGAAAATAAGCTAAGTGCAACATCAAATGGTGAGTGAAAACACATGAATTCAGTGCTCATGAGTTTATAGGCTGTCAAATAATCACACTTTGAGCTCCAGAGAGTATGGAGGGCTGGTACAGTCGAATGAATTAGACTCACAGTAGACCACAATAATGAGTTTGATCTTCATCCTAAGAACAACTGAAAGTCAGGGATATGTGACATGATCAAGCAGGTATTTAGAAAAAGACTCACTGTTTACCACCTGAAGAGTGGATGGGCATGACTAGAAGGAATGTGGAGGCTGCCCTTCCCATGCCCCTGTGTATTCTCCTGATTCTCCAGGCTGAAGAGTGAGATTTGTAGGGAACCCCTTCTTTCTGCCTTTTCTGGGCTCTAGAACCCCTCAGGGCTGCTGCTGTGGTGGCCCTGATCCTGGGAAGCCCTGAAAACACAATGGGCTCACCCTGCAGTTCTCCTGCAGTCCCTGCTGTGACCCGGCTGGCTTTGCACCACAGAGGAGCTCTAGCCTCTGTGCTTTTTCTCAACTACAAAGGTCTGTTAATTGAATGGATACATATGGGAACTGTGGCTCTTTGGTCCAAAGTGGCTTTTGTCTTTTAGGTTCATGGCACAGGCAAGGAGGCTCCACCATGCTTTCCTGTTGTGAGCCTCCAGCACAGGCTATTCTCTGAGATATGGACTATAAACATGACAATAACTCTTTAGATTAAGTCAGGAGGGAAAAGGGCTGGGTCTTGAGGGATTCCTTGGTATGTCAAGTACCCATTGAGGGCCAGGCCTTATAGGGGCCAGGAGGGATGTAATGAGGGGGTGTGCCATCCATATTAAAAGGCCGAGTATGGGGAGAGACAGAGATGACCCCTTCTCCCTCTCCCTTCATATCTACTCAGGAGTCATGCCAGTTTCCCTCTCTCCATCTTTGCTGAAATTGGCTCCATGTCCTGACCAGCCCTGGCATTCCTTTAGGACTTTTTCTCAGAGCATCACGAGGCATATATAAAAGCAAGATGCCTTGTGGCACTCCTTGACTTGAGGAGTTTCTGAGGTAGATTTGTGAACTGGGTTCTCTTCTAATTCCTGCTCTGCATAAATGAATGAGCTACCATTCTGTGTTTTAGTCCTGAACATGACCGACCCAACCCCTGGCTGAGGGAGCTCTCCCTGCAGTTAGGTAGTAATATTTGAGCCCTAGTCAGAGTGAAAAACAGCCTCAATGACGCACTGGGGGAATCTGGTGAACACTGGCTGGCTGAAATCCCGGTGTCTCCCAGCTGATAATGGTGACGGGTGCAGTCACCACATCATCCCAGAGCTAGCAGATCACCCTCTGAAATGTCAGGGGCCAGAAACAGAGGTAAACTCAGACCGAATAATCTCTCCCCTCTACCTATACTCTGATCTTAACGTTATGATGGAAAGAGAATGAGCGTTAGAGCTGCCCAGACCTTGGCCTGAATCTTGTTAGGTGGCTAAATCACTGAGTTTCAGCTTACTCATCTTCCAAATGGGGATAATAATGATGGTTTTACAAGGTGTCGTGAAGGTGAAATTGCACAGAGTGCCCAGGACACAGTGCTGGGACTCCACTGAGCTTGGGCTGTGAAGTCAGCAGATTCGAATCACAGCTTCCTGAGTACAGCTCTGCCCTGGCTCCCACATCTGAGTCACAGGGATAATAATAGTGCTATTTCTGAAATAGTGAGAAATAAATGAACTTAAATGAGACTGTGTGTAATACATTTAACACAGGGCTCAGCACATGTTTATATATGCAGTAAACATTTGTAGTTATTCACATTATTTTTCCTTCCTGTTTCCCTTCCCTTTCTGCTAGTTCCTCTTGTATTTTTCAGGATGACAGTGGCTGACAATCAAGTGATTTAATACTCTAAAACATAAAATATTGGGTTGCATTAGTGTAAGCTTGAATCCAATACCAACCGACCCCAAAATGTATAATGGCTCAAACACAATGGAGGTTTTTGCTCTTATAAGAGGCCAGCGTGTCGCTGTTTGGTGGGCAATTTTCTTCCACATAGAATCCCAGAGAACCTCATCTTCTGTTTATATTTCTTTGATCTCCTGGGCCTTTTGATCACTTATGCCCAGCAGGTAGACAGGGAAAGTGTAGAAGAAACACACCTGATTCTTCGAAGTCCTGGCCAGGAGCTGTATCAGCTCTGTCCCATCTTACTTACTACAACTAGTCTCCTGGAAAGGCAGTCTAGCTGTGTGCCCCAGAGGAAGGGAAATCAGAGGTTTTGTGAAGAGCTGGCATTACTGCCACAAATAATTTAACCTGTTTCTAGGAAAGATGGACATTTTCAGGTTATTTGTTGTTCTGACTTATGTTGGTGCTTCTGGAAGAGAACAGAAAACAAGAGCAGTTTCCATGGCAACTTCCAAAAGGCCTCATCACTCTCCTGACTGTGAGGCACCATTACCTGGGCTTGCAAGGAATGGGTTCAGCCCCATTATTCTTTTTATGCTATCTGGAAAAGAAAATCTGAGAGCCTTGATAGCCTCTAATTTCAAGCAGCATCAGGTACACCAGTGGATGATCAGAAATTGTCTTGAGCAGACAGGTTGAGCACCATCCAAAGAACTGGAGGAGGCTTGGGGTGTGGTGGGACCAGGAAAGGAACAGGAAATGTCACCGCTGACTATGACAAAGTCAGGGCCTGAGGACAGGGACTGCTGCCACCTGGCAGAAGAGCTGTGGTTCAAAGGCGGGGAGAGATGGGCATGGGTCAGAGAAGGGTGGCAAGCTGGCATGAAGGGCCTGGTGCAGGAGATAAAGAGGAACCAGCAGTTGGGCTCTGGTTAGGA